ATTGACATAATTATGAATAGATGGGATTCTATTAAGAATTGATTGTCATATGGTAAATATGGAAATGTTTACATAATGGGAGTTGGATATTAAGAATCTATGTGTAGGTTAGAAACTTTTATGCAATAAGGATGTTCAAATGAATGTACTTTGAATGTGAGACTTTGTATCTGTGGAATTGTCTTGTAACAATTTCCAGTGGAGTTTTTTGTAATATCATTGTCCAAGTCTCAGTGACTTTGGTGCCTTGACATTACAAAAGGATCATTGCATGATAGTTTAGAATCTAACACATTCTAATAGTCGCAATAATTTCGTATTCTTACACTTACGATAATAATGTGTAATCAATATGGTGATTAAATAATAAGTGTTTTTATTTATATTCAAAAGTTTTGAGACCATATTGGATTCGATTATTCTTGTGTTTCACTTTGCATGTTTTACTTCCCGAATAACTAGGTTATTCAAACATCCACAGTCAATCATACTTTGGAAGTAAGTAATGAGTTAAGGCTGTCATGGATCTGACTGTAGATTGTCTAAGTGTTTAGACGTAGCACAAGTTTACTGCAGTGTTCATGAGTACTCCTGTAATATGATTTGAGTATTGGATTAAACCCACGCCCACGTAAATCACTTCATGGATTTTATCACGAGTGATTGTGAGACGATAATATCTTATATTCTTGAAACCAAGACATATGAGTTGTAGTTTACAACTCGGTTGCACATTGATGATACGTAAACGCACCAGTAACTTGGTGTTATAAAACATATTGTTGTGTGTGATTTGATGAGTAAGTAGAGCAAGCATATGAGTCGAAGTTTATCCGTTCCTTTTACCCAATGTGGGATAAAAGCAATATATGTGGTCCCCTCGATGATTTTGTGATGACACCCTAAGCGCTTGGCCAAGCCTGGACTGATTTGATTTGTTCAATTAGTCAATCATCATAAATCAGAAATCGGGAAACATAAGTTAGACAGAGAGAATGATTATAATCCATGTCTCATGTCTATAGGATATCTTGTAGAATGATTATACGCGTTACTGATAAGATCAGAGTTCGACAACGGCTTTTGAGAGCTACGATTGCTAATTGGATTTGAAATTGCATTAGGAGTTATAGTTATTAGACTAATCCAAGTGGGAGATTGTTGGATTAGGTGTCTAAGCCCATAACTATAATTGGTATGTACTTGACCAGATAGTAGCATGGTCCTTTTGGGTTGCCTTCACCGGAGCAATTTGATAGGATGGATATTTGAGAAAGAGGTTATTTGTGATTTATTAATATATTATATGAATAATATATTAATTGAGAAATCATATTATTTAATTGGTATTGATCAATAATTAATTTGGAATTAATTTAGTGATCAAAATAGAGTGATTAAATTAACAGGAGCTGATTATGTAAATCAGTGATACATATAGTTTGGGTTAATGATCCATGATTGATTAGTGATGGACTAAGCTTATGTGAGAGTCCATGAAGTTTTAGTCCAAACGAATTATTGGATCAAAAGCCTAAGTGAATGGATTAGGGTTTACAAGTGACCCTTGGAATTCTACACTATATATGTAACCCCTAACACCCTAAAATTGGCACTTGTGTTCTATGAAGTAACCCTAGTCGTTTTTGGTGACCTCCTTGCCTCTCTCTCAATATCCTCCACTGTTCTTGGTGTTTGTGACTTATTTGAGGCATCACATTTGAGGTGCTAAGCTCTTGAAAGGCCAAGTTCTACAAGGTACAAATAAGAGGTATTCATCTAACTAGTTTTTATGTTGTATATCTCCAATTGCATGCTAGCTAGGGTATATGCTTTGGATTAAATGAAATAGCATGTATAACTTGAGAAAACTTAGATCCAAAGCATTAGGATTGTATGTGCACCATAGGAGTGTTATAGTACTCAAAACCCATCATTATAGCCAAGGCGCCATATCGCCTAGCGCCGTCAGAGATGCAGGAGTTGTCCACGTAGCTTCAGGAGCTGCTAGACTGAGGATTCATTCGTCCGAGTAGTTCACCGTGGGGAGCACCTATCCTGTTCGTGAAAAATAAGGATGAGTCGCACATGATGTGTATTGATTACCGGGAGCTGAACAAGCTAATGGTGAAGAACCGTTACCCACTTCCAAGGATTGATGATTTATTCGATTAGCTTCAGGGTGCATCATGGTTCTCCAAGATTGATCTTCGGTCAGGGTATCATCAGATGAGGATTAGGGATGAGGATATACCGAAGATCGCTTTCAGGACTCGTTATGGTCATTATGAGTTTGTGGTGATGCCATTAGGCTCACCAATGCTCCAGCAACGTTCATGGATCTCATGAACCGGGTTTACAGACCAATGTTGGATCGGTCTGTGATTATGTTCATTGATGATATCTTGGTCTACTCGACGACCAAGGAGCAGCACGAGTAGCATTTGAGGGAGGTGTTGGAGACACTTAGGAGGGAGAAGCTTTCCAGAAAAGTGTGACCTTTCGGTGGGGTCCAGATCAACAATTGGCTTTCGAGACCTTGAGACAGAGATTATGCGAGGCCCCGATTCTAGCATTACCCGAGGGATTGAATGATTTTGTAGTGTATTGTGACGCTTCTATCTCGGTATTGGGAGTTGTTCTGATGTAGAGGGGGCATGTGATTGCTTACGCCTCGAGGCAGCCGAAGCCTCATGAGGTGAATTATCCCACCCATGACTTGGAATTGGGGGCGGTGGTGTTTGCCCTCAAGATTTGGAGGCATTATTTATATGGGGTCTGATGCACTATTTTTACAGATCACAAGAATCTGAAGTACCTGATGGATCATCATAATTTGAATATGTGACACAGGAGATGGCTAGATGTATTAAAGGATTATGATTGTGAAATTTTGTATCATCCCGGGAAGGCCAATGTGGTGGTCGATGCTTTGATTCGTAAGGCGGAGAGTACTCCGATTCGAGATGTCTTCTTGAGGATGACAGTGATTTCACCTTTGTTGGATATGATTAAGGATGCACAAGTGGAGGGTTTGAAAAAGGAGAACTGGAAGATTGAGCGGATTTGGGGTCAGATTTCGTTATTTGTTCGGGATAGTCGGGGTTTATTGACTCAGTGTGGTAGAGTTTGGGTTCCAACAATTGGGGGAGTAAGACAGAAGATATTGGAAGAGGCGCACAAGTCCAAATTTTCTATCCATCTGGGGGCCACGAAAATGTATCAAGACCTGATATTGAGTTATTGGTGGCCCTACATGAAGCGGGAGACTGCGTGGTTTGTTGAGCGATGTTTGACATGTAGGAAGGTCAAAAGCTGAACATCAGAGGCCCCATGGCAAGGTTCAGCCGCTACCTATTCCCATGTGGAAATGGGAAGAGATCACCACAGATTTTATCACGAAACTACCGAGGACGTCGCGAGGTGTGGATTCCATTTGGGTTATTGTGGACAGGTTGACTAAGAGTGCATATTTTATTCCGATTTCCGAGAGTATCTCTGCCAAGAAATTAGCAGACATTTATGTGCGGGAAGTAGTGGTCAGGCACGGAGTGCCGGTATCTGTAGTCTCGGACCGCGATGTTTGTTTCATCTCCAGATTTTGAAGGAAGTTTCATGAGGAGTTGGGTACTCGGTTGCATTTCAGCACTGCTTACCACCCCCAGACCGATGGTCAGAGCGAACGGACGATCCAAACGCTCGAGGATATGCTTCGGGCATGTGTATTGGATTTTGGAGGAAGTTGGGATACTTATCTTCCACTGGCAGAGTTCTCATATAACAATAGTTATCACGCTAGTATTGACCGACCCCCGTTTGAGATGTTGTATGGTCAGAGCTGTAGGACCCCATTTTGTTGGGGGGAGGTTGGACATCGAGTTATGGGAAGCATTGAGGTGATGCTTAAGACCATCGAGTTGATTCAGCAGGTGCATGACAGATTACGAGTCGCGCAGAGTCATCAGAAAAGTTATGTTGATCGGCTTCGTTCGCATCTCGAATTTCAAGTGGGGAATTTTGTTTTGTTGAATATGTCACCATGGAAGGGTGTTATTCGGTTTCGGAAGAGGAGCAAGCCGGGGCCCCGATTTATTGGTCCATTCAGGATTTATGCCCGAGTCGGCAGGGTTGCTTATTGATTGGATCTTCCGGAGGACCTGATTCAGATCCATAACACTTTCCATGTGTCTCATCTTCGGAAGAGTGTACCTGATGAGCCAACGGTTATTTCATTGGATGACATTCAGGTGGATGAGAGCCTGAACTATATTGAGAAGCCCATTGCGATTTTGGACAGAAAAACAAAAGCTTTGCGGAAGAAAGAAGTGAAGTTAGTGACGGTGCAGTGGCAGCATCGAAAAGGCTAAGAATGGATGTGGGAGCCCGAGGAGGAGATGAGAGAGCATTACGCATGATTGTTTGATGCAGCTGACTTCAAGGACGAAGTCTGATTCAAGTGGGGGAGATTTGTAACGCTTGGATCTGGTATTAGCTAAATTCCCTAATTTATTGTATTTTCAGTGGGGACTCAACGAGTTGGAAGCTCCAACTCGTCGTGTCGAGGGGGTTTTTGGTCGTGGGCATTTTTGGGCCAACTCGACGAGTCGAGGTGTCCCAACTCGGCGAGTTGATGGCTGTGAAGAAAACCCTAATTTTTGGGTTTTGCACCCTATTTAAAGACCTTAAATCCCTTGGCAGGCCTCCTTACCAGCCTCCTCTGTCCAGAAACGCAAATTTCGTGCATTATCCTCGAAGGTTGAGTGTGTGAGCTTGTAGTGAGCTTGGAGAGTTGGTTTTTGGTATTCTTTGGAAGGAGTTTGAAGTTGAAGGTGCCTAGTTTGGAAGGAAGGCTTTGGATCCAGAAACTCTCCATTTTAAGGGTGTTGATCGGGTAAATTTTTCGGGTTTCAGGTAATTCGGGTTTGTCATGTTAAGAAAAATACCCGTTACCCGACCCAAATTAAATTTGGGTAGTGGGTCAGGTTTGGGTAATTCGGGTATTACTTGATTTTTTATTTTTTATTTTTTTTAATGGCACCTAAAAATAAATTTAATGAAATAAATATGTCGTGTTCAAACTTTGAACATTGAGATTTTTTAGTCAATAATAATTGAAGATTTATAAATTAAAACACTTTGTGTTTGTCTTGAAACTTCACATAGCCATGTTACATTGTCATTGTCTGATCAGATTAGAATAAAGTTCATGTGTTTTGATGTTTTGAAGGATATTGCAACAAGAGTTATTAATCATGGGATTGATTTGGTGAACACACCTGTCTCGAAGGTGATGACATGGAATCCGATTTTTGTTTTGTCTGATACTCTTAGTGTGGAAGCGCTACAGAAGATGGTGGCAGGTTTAGTTTGTAACAAATAATTTAAACTGGGCTTAATTACTTTTTGATGAACCTTTTCTAATCTTATGAATTAAATTATGAATGCAGGAGAAGTTACACGATTGCCTGTTATAGAGAATGGGGAGGTTATTGGTTTAGTTTGCATACTGGATTGTTTACGTGATGCTGACAAAATTACGGGAAGGAAAGCCGCTAAGCTTATGGCAACGAATTGGGATGCCCTTGCGAGGTATTGTTGAAGGATTTAATGAACAAACAAATAAAATCACACATGCATGCATGACTGTCATCACTAAATCACAATAGTTTCTGATTTGTGAATTTGGTTGTAAGTTTTAATTATATTTTTTTCGGTTAATGATAAATTTCATCATATAATTATTTGAGAGTTATCTTTTTCGCTGTATGATAGTTTAAAAAAGAAAAAAATCGGACCCTCAAAACACGATTTTGGATGTATTTGACCATTGTGACATTTAAAGTGTATTGAACTGTATAACAATGGATTGGCATATTGACTTTTCATACAACTTCAATTACAAGTTTAATACAACATATTTTAAAAAAAATAATTACAAAAAACTTTTTTTTTCTCATTGAACATATACTCTAATTATTTTTGACCAGTGATGAACACGAACGAAGAGCGGACGAGGGACGAGGGTTTTTTTTTACGTAGAGAAAATAGAACGAGCCTCAACGAGGGAAATTGGGATTTGGGAAATGGGACGGATAAACTCATAAAGGGACATTATTTGTTAAATATATTTCGGGTAATCGGGTATACCCGAAACCCAAAAAACTTACCCCTTTTTCCGTCCTGAAAAAAAACCGGGTTACCCAAATACCCGAAAAAATTAACCCGATACCCGATTTACCCGATACCTGAAAAAATCGGGCGGGTAATTCGGGTAACGGGTATTTTCGACAGGGCTACTCCATTTGTTGCAGTTCTTTTGAGGTATAAAGTCGATACCTTGTGCTGTTATCTTCTAGATCTCTTTGTTGGATGTTTTAGCTTGATTTTTTGGGTTTATGGTTGGGTTGTCCAAGAGGTTGAGGGTTTCAGGGGTTAATATGTTAGATCTGACCCTTTCATGACCTCTCTTGGCTTAAAGTTGCAAGCTTTGCTAGGTCCTAAGTCCCATTCATGCAATAAGTCCATTATTAAGCCATTTTGGGTCCTATGGTTCCTCTCTAGCATGCATGGACGTAAAGTTGGAAACTTTACGTGATATTCCAGCCTTGGGATGCATGATCTGTGTTTTGGGACTAAATTTTGAGAGTTTAAGGGCTTAATGGGTTAAGCCTCACTCTATTGAGTCTAGGATTCGGGTTTAGGTTCATTATGGTGGTTTTTAAGGGTAAAGTTGAAAACTTTACCCTTCTAGACATCAATTTGGAGGAGATCTGAGATTTGGAGTTACTAGATTCGATGGAAGAATGAGGGAATTAAGGCGGGTATAGTCGAACTGGTTGATTCTAGGGTGATAAGCAGATGTATCCGTATAAAGCCTACCATCTTCTCACAAAAGTCTTTCCACCCCGTCTCCGAATTGAAATATATGTGGCCCTGCTTCAAAGCCCATCTACACACTCCAGCTGCCTCCTTTTGAGCTAGTCAAGCAGGCGTTGAACACGGACTGGGACTCTCCCGCCCCCTCGACAACAATTCCTGCACTTGACGTCGGATCTCCTCATTCCCAAATGAGGATAAGCGAGAAGTCGAAACAGCTTAATGCATTAAGCTGTTAGATTTCTGGCCAACTCGACGAGTTCATTAGTGAACTCGACAAGATGATAAAAGTTTTCCCGATTCGCGCAGCTAAGGGATGAACTCGACGAGTTGAAGTAAAACTCGGCGAGTTTGGTCAACTCGACGAGTTTGGTCAACTCGGATCGTTGACTTTGACCTTTGACTTTAGTTCTTGACCAAGTTTGACTTTTAAGGGGTTTTAGGGCATTTGGAGTTGTATTTAAGGAATTATTTATGTTTAGGGGTCGAGTAGAGCTGATATTAGGAGTCGGGACCTAGTCAGCTATCATCCGGTATTGAGGTGAGTCTTCTCACCACACTTATGGGTCGAAGGCACCAAGGTCGGCCCATTATTGATTATGAAATGTTTCGTATGGGAATATATAATTGTTTGTTAGTGGATTTATATGTGGACGTATGTGCAGACCATGGGGGACCTCATGACATTTGGCAAGACCACGGGAGGAGCCCATGGCACGGGGATACAAGACCATGGGGGTAGCCCATGGCATTACATTGAAGACCGCGGAGGGAGTCCATGTCAAACTTGTATGTATATATGTGTGCATGGTATTATGTGTGCATGGTATTATGTGAATATAGGCATTACATTGAAGACCGCGGAGGGATACAAGACCATGGGGGTAGCTCATCAGCAGCCTCCATAGATTGGAAAAACGTTATTAGGCATTTTATCCGGGAGTGGGAAATCTGGGCCTTCCGGAAACGAGTTATTATCTGAACAAACATAACAATCTACTTCTTCACAATGCCAAATACCATCACGAGATGAATTCATTCCAATTTTATTTCAATGTTGATGATGCATGATATGTGAATTTTAAGGTCCAAAAGCAATGTCCAGAACAACTATCCGAAATAGTCATTCTGGAAAGTGGCTCAGGAATGGAGTTCCCGACTAAGGGTCCGAAATACTGTTAGGAATCTACGACATTTACTGTTCGGAATGACTACACATAATGTCAGGAATCTATGACTTATACTGTTGGGAAATGACTACACATATGTCAGGAATCTAGGACAATTACTTACAAAAGCAATGTCCGAAACAATGGTCCAAAATAGCCAGTTCGGAATGTGGCTCTGGAATAAAGGTCCGGAATGAGGGTCCAAAATACTGTCAGTAATCTATGACATTTACTGTTCGGAATGACTACACATATGTCAGGAGTCTATGACATTTACTATTCGGAATGACTACCCATATATCAAGAATCTATGACTTTTACTGTTCGGAATGACTACACATATGTTAGAAATCTATGACAATTACTGTTCCGAATTTAGGGTCCGAAATATCAATTCCGAAATGTAGCCCCGGAATGTGTTTCCGAAATAGTGTCAGGAATCATAATCGTAGTAAATGTCATTATATAAAGGAATTCAAGCGTCGAAACTCTTTACTTTGTTAATTTTACTACTAAAAATTCATTTCTCATAATCCAAAGAAATGACATATTGCGATTGTGGCTCTGAAGGTATTATAAGGACATCAACAACTAGAAATAACCCTGGATGACTTTTTTATGCTTGTCCTAAAGAGGTATGTGGGTTATCCTTTTATAATTTTTCTTAGAATTAATATTAATTTACACAATATAGGTCATGTGTTTGATCTTAAATTTTTAGGGACTACAGTCTAGGTTTATCTGTTGGGTTGACAAAGCAAAAGACAATAACTCATTGATAACTTGTAACTTATTTCGATCGAAGAAGAAACTTGTAACCCAAAATATGCACTTGAAGATAGCGTTAATTTGTAGTTGGATTTTCTTTTTTGGAATTGTTGTGTACAAGTTTTAAGCTTTATATTCATCAACTAAGTTTCCCTTATGTAACGCCTATTAATCTTTTTAATATGTTATTTTTGCTTGTTTGTTAGTACTACTATGGTACTTGTAAATTGTGTTTTTTCTATATTTGTAATATGTAACAAATATTAGGGCAATAATAATATTTTTCATTACACACAACAAATCAATTACAAAAATAATTAATTGGAATTACATTGGTAATAAAACTACAATCAAAGGGTCTGGTATTTTCTATTATGATATAGGGGGAAGAGGGTGCACGGTTTGTGTCTGGTAGGCAGTTTGAAACACATTAGCCTGGTAATATATCTAAACTATATTAGGTAATTCATGGATGTTCAAATGGCGTGATGTCGTAATAGCATGACCGCACGCTATACCCACACTGCGTCATTTCCCACATGAACATGTATGACGGTTTAGATCAATAACACAAGTTTTTTTAAATCATAAAACTCGATAAATGTCGGACGGGAGTGGAGACGGGATCTCTGGCGGGATCTTTATTGCTTTCCACCGAACAGACTTTTGCATGCTTTTATGAAGCACCATTTCAACATATGGGGTGAATACGGTAGTCAAACTCGCTAAAAAGTAAATATGATCAAATTGGGTTCTTGTACAAGTAATTAAATAAATTTAATATTTCACCAAGTATTTTACATGTCATTAAACTGCGTTCAATGAAAGTCCATTGAATGTAATCACGAATTGCCTCGGTAAGCATTATTAACGGTACACTGCATTGATTTACCGATAACACAAAAAAAATTGGGAAAGATCAATGTTGACTAAATTCCAACGGATGTTAGGGAAATAGGCTCTTGCCCATTTCGCATGACCGATGTTGGAAAGCACTTCACAAGCATCAGGGGTCATTTGATGGAAGTTTCCTTTAAAACCAGACACAGTATATGAGTTGGATGTCATCCAGAACAAACGTTGTAATTTTTTGCCAGAGACACCTCTTGTGCGCATATACTTGAACACACTTTTAGAAGTATACCCATGATAAGAATCAGGGAATAAATGCTCTATTCAAGAAATAACGACATCATCCATATTTTTTATGAACGATACTTCCCCACCCTGTCTCAAAGCTTTTATTAACCCCATAAGGAACCAGATGCAACAGTAGAGATTATTTTCCATTGCCATACCAAATGCTATAGTGAGGGTCTGGTTGTTCCTATCGATAGCAACCACTACAAACATTGTTTTTAGGTAGTCCCCTCTAAAATGGACACTACCTATGAAGATCACAGGCAAGAAGCAGCCTATGAATGCATGGACCTGTATTTTTTTGGGAACAAAAACGAATTAATTTAGATGTAGAAACATTATCATTTTTAAAGAAACAATATAAAAGTACAAAAAACAAATATACCACCCATCCAATAGCCACAAAACAAGCTTCGAAACAATCCATCAAATTAGTTCCGACGTGAGTGTAACTATCCGAGTTAGTTTGCCTTAGGTTGTGAAGGTAAACATGCAGGCTGTTAAAGCTTTCTTCATGCTGACTCTCTAAGAAACTCATATTGAAGCAGTTTTATAAGCGATAATTACGAATTACTTGGTTGAAGGCACACACACACACACACACACACACACACACATATATATATATATATATATATATATATATATATATATATATATATATATATATATATATATATATAGGAGATGAAAA